GTGTTCTGCCTTCTGCTTTTCCCCACTGCCAAGGTGGAGGGGACGGTGGCACACGGTGGTGCTTCCCTCGGAAATGTCGAAGGCTTTCTCCTTCAGATACGGGGCCTTTCGAATCAGTGGGCTTGGGTAAAGTTTGGTCTGATTTGTGACTCTGAGACGGCTTTCGGTATCCACAATGTGTTGTGGTAGAGGTTTTCAGAATTTAGTCGTGTGCTTGAAGAAAACGGCCGTCCTTATGTTTTACATTTGGCACCAAATTATATCGGTGTGTTTTTTAATATTTCACACTCTTATACCTGCAGACATATACGATTAGGTTACTGCTGGTGGGTGCAATTGTGGGGCAACAGAGCTGGCGAAGGGTCTGGAGCACAAGTCTGGTGGGGAGCGGCTGAGGGAGCTGGGGGGGTTTGGTCTGGAGAAGAAGAGGCTGAGGGGAGACCTGATCACTCTCTACAACCACCTGAAAGGAGGGGGTGGCAAGGTGGGGGTCGGTCTCTTCTCCCAGGTAACGAGCAATAGGATAAGAGGAAACGACCTCAAGTTGTGCCAGGGGAGGTTTAGTTTGGATATTAGGAAGAATTTCTTTGCTGAAAGGATTGTCAAGCATTGGGATGGGCTGCCCAGGGAGGTGGTGGAGTCCCCATCCCCGGAGGTCTTTAAGAAAAGACTGGAGGTGGCACTCAGTGCCATGGTCTAGTTGACATGGTGGTGTTAGGGCAAGGTTGGACCGACGATCCCAGAGCTCTCTTCCAACCTCATCTGTTGTGTGATTCTGTGTTTGTCTTCCTGGTAAGCATAATACTAACACAACAAAAGCTAGTTTTTCACAAATCTTTTATGGTATTCTGTTTGTCCGAGTAAGAAATAAGTTGTGTCAGATGATTTTATGGGTGGTGTTTAATCCTTTTTTTTTTTTTTTTTTGTGGGGCAGGTCATGAACTGGCAGAGATAAGAGAACGATCTCTGAAGACTATTCTGTTTAAATTAGATCATAACCTGATTTCATATGCTGATCTGGTCCATGAAAAAGTGCTTTTCCGTAATCTTTTGGAGTGGTTCAATTTCCCAGACGTACCAATGAAAGAGGAAGTGCTAAATTTTGTGAACAGTTTGATCAAGGTATGATATACTAACATTTATTTATATTTAAACTATATGTCTTTAGCATGCTAAAGCTAAATAAAACTGGATATAATTTCATTTTGTAGCTCCATGAAATGGGATTTTTAGAGTGTTTATAAAGATATGAATAATAAAGCCACATGTGTGTAGACAGAAATGAAAACAAATTGAATGACTTGCAATGGGTCATAAGGATAACTGAAAAAAATCATTCATTTCTGGGTTTCTACTTTAGTTTCTCTGCTTCTTCAGTTTCTCATTTAGTGTTTAATTTCTTCTATGAGACATGATCTCAGCTAAGCACTTCCACTGTTCCTGGAAAGTGAAGATTTGAACAATGGTGCAGCTTATTTTAAAAAAGTTGAGAAAATGTTGCAGCAATTTCAGAGAACTCAGGTTCCTACATTCTTGTGTTTTCATCACTAAACAGCAGCTATACAGAAGAAAAAAATAATCCCATCTTTGATGGTGATGGATGGTCTAAACAAATAAAGGCAAAATCTAACTTAAGTTTTGATTGCCAGTCTTTCCTTTATTCCCCGTCACCCCACCTCCCCCTCCAAAAGACCTTGAGACTCCTCAGGCTAACCTTGTCAGTTATTTTTTTTGTCCTAATGTAGCATCCACCTGCTGCCCAGAAAATGATTGGAATTGGTGCAGTGGAATTCTTCTCTCAACTTCGCCCCAATGTGAATCCAAACTTACAGGCTGTCGTTGATGGGATTATGGATGGGCTGTTCTTCCTTCCTTCTGGACTTCCTTCTAGTTCTTCATCAGTCTGTTATCAAATGCAGTCTCAGCCCTCAGTAGATCAACCAGGTAAATTACATATTTTGAAATATGATTTATTTAAAATGAAAATGAAGTAAATGAAAAGCTTCTAGGCTATGAAAAGTTGAAGTTTTCAGGCATAGTAGGTGAATTATCAGTGAAGTGTATGGTAAGCAGATTCTGCCAGAGAAAGTGTGATCTTAGCTAAATCAGATAGTGCCATTCCTTTAATGGAGCTCTCTGCAGGAGAACAATCCTGTTGTTTGTAATCAAACTTCTCTGTCCGTTTCTTCACTGTGTAATATCTGTTTGTTATACTGTCAAAAGGGCATGACACAGGACGTGAACTTCCAAAGACTGCTTTATGGCAGTAAGTGTAGCAACTTTGAACAAATCTGTAATTAAGCCAGTATGCTTTGCTAGTTTTCTCTGCATAGTAGATTTAACTTTGAGAGCAATTCAAATCTTTAAAAAGGATTAAAAAATTTAGAAAAGGAAAAAAAAAAGGAAGCAGTAAGTGATCCTAGTGGAATGATTTTTAAAACTACGTTACTGTCGTATGCACTATTTGCTTAGTTTTGGGTAAGTATTTGTCATAGAAAAATATGTAAACTTTGTGTAAAATTTCACACACAATATGAAGTGCTTCACCTGTGTGTGAAGTGCTATTACTTGCTTCTTTTATCTAGTTTATTATCTGTCTGTTACAACGATTTACAGTGCCTCTTAAATGTAGTCAAGAAGTAAACCCATGTGGTTCTCCTCTTCTGCCTTAAAACTTTTAGCATAAAGTATAGAGGAGAAAGTCACGTACTGTGGATGTACTTACTTCATCCTTCTGTTCTTGTGGGAAAGGCACTGCTGTTGTGCTGCGTGGTGTGGTAATGGCCACACCTCTGCTGCTCATGCTGTGCAATCTCGGAGATAAAAGTAATTTTCCCGGGGTTTCTGCAGCCTGTCTAATGCTTGGAGTTTCAGTTTGCTAGAACTAACTGGTGGCTGTTCATGAATTTATTTTTTTTTTTTGCCCTAAGGGTTTAGCTAGATTTTTACCTAAGATTGCTACTATATGGAGAATAATATAATAACCTTTTACATATGCATTCTTAAACTACATCTTTTTGAAACTACCCAGTTAAAGTATTGTACATAATTTCTACTTATGCTGTAAATTGTATACGTGTGTGGAAAAAATAATCTTAATGCTTAGTAACAGGAGTGTTGTATTTTTCTTTCTATTTTAACTTCGGTTACTGGGAAAAATTGTAAACTAACAGTCTGGGCATTATCTAGTTTGATCCTTTGAACCAAATATTATGTTCTGGAGAGGTTACTTTTAATGTTACATACCTTGTGTATATTTTGTTATACAGTTTGTGTATTAATTAGATGTATTAATAATACACATATTATATATGGGGGAGATAACTTTTCAGCTGACCTGAAAAGACGGCAGTTTTGGTAGAAGATGATTTTAAATAGTTAATTAAAAAAGTTAATTTTATTACTACATAGGTAGATTAGAGGAGAACATTTTTTTTTTTTTGGCTACCAGTTCTCCATCAGACTACGTTTTGTATAATTGATTTTGCTGTTGCTTGTACGATATGTGAGGTAATGTAAGAAAATGGAAAAAAGCTTTACAGTTGCAGAATAAGATTGTAAAAATAAACATTGACATGCTCTTCTTACTCTGCTTTCCTGATCATCTAAGACAATTTTAAATTGGTTTCCTTAATATGTTAAAACTCAACGGCAGAAAGGAGGCAGTTCAGGAAAAGCGTGAAGATAAATTGAGCTTTGCTTTTAGTTGTTTGTTTTGTCTTTTTTTTTTAGTGTGTATTTTTTAAACTTACCCTTTATTTGTTTTAGTTCTGCCTCAAGAGGAATTATTCAATGGATATTTTTGTCGAGGTAGAAGTCCTCTGCCACAGTTAGAAACACCTCCCAAAAGAACAGTTGGTATGTGTAGTTATAAAATAAGGATATGTTAATTACAGAAAGTGCTTAGAATTGTAATTTAGATTGAATTCCATTACAAATATTATTATTGACTATTCTTTTTCCTGTTGTTATTCTGTGAAATCTAGTATTGCAGAAACTACAATTATAATGCTTATAAAAATGACATTCATCTTAATGGACCTTTCTCTTTTCTAATAAATAGTTAGTGTAGCTCTTTGGAATATGTAAAGTATGTTAAAATATGCTGTAATTTTAAAAATTATTTAAACTGCTAATGCTTTTTAGAAGATCTGTGTTCCATAATCAAATGTGGCTGTTTAGGTAGCTTTTTATTTCGACAAAACTTAGTCTGAAGTACCTTACTACTTTTCACAGAACTAGATTAGGTGCTTTAGAAATCTTGACCTTGTATCTAAATGAAAATAGTGTTATGCTTTTATTTTTTTATTGGTAAAATGCTATGAAATGGTTCACTGAGAAACACAGCCAGTATTATTTTAGCAAGTCTTTGCCTGTAGTAGCATTTCACAGGAGCGTGTCATATTTAACATACAATATGATGCTGAGAACTAGATTTTAAAATATCACTTTGGAGTTACTGTATGTAAATCACCAGGTTACTTTTTTTTTAGCAGTGTATCAGCTATCTTTAGAAATGCGCAATAGTTATTGCAAACTTTAAGTTAAAAGTAGCTTTAAAGCTATGTTAGTTAAAAAGTTATTTTGTGTCATAATTTAGTAACAACTATTATTATTTCTACTGCTTTAAAAGTAAAAGCGTGAGGTCATTTTTCTGTTTTTAGAGGTCATGCTAATAAATATTCTTTAGTAGCAGAACAGAATTATAATTTGATTGAAGGCATGATGTGGGGTTCGAGCACTCTTCCACTAATGCTGTGTTTTCTATTTGCTAAATCTTTCTTCAATGAACATATTTCATTTTGATTTAAGATGACCTTAATATTTTTTTGATATTGCTGAAAACTCCCATTAGAAGCACCTAGGTTTGTGCGAGTCTATTTAGTAAAGGTATTTCTATTTCAGATAGTGTGTAGTTCATAAGTTTTTTGACTAGCAATGGAAATATACAGTGTAATGCTTCTGTAAAAAATACTCCAAAATATCCGCTCTCTATTTTTTGCAGTGAAATGCTTGAAATTTTCCATATTTCCTTGGCTAACTCTGACTTCAACAGATAGACATGTTCTTTCATCGAATGAAAGGTACAGTAATAGAAACATAACAGTTTGCTTGTAGTTGTTATTTTTCTTGGGTAAGAGTGGTTCTAAATTTCTGTCCTTCTGCATCATTAGACTGTCCCTGTAAATAACGCAAGGAGTTAATTTTTGGTAAATATTCGTACAAGCTGCACTGAGGTTGGGCAGAGCAGATAAACAGTGGGTTGTAACAGCACACGTTTTCTGTTCATGTTGCTTTCCATTCTTGGTGTTCAATTCAGAGTACTTTTTTGTTGTTGTTCATGACACTTCAATCTGTCTTTTAAATTTCTCAAGTGGATCATAGATTTCATTTGGTTAATTTTAGAACAAGCTGGAATAAAATCATTGTTTACTTTACCCCCATGGCCACTTGTCAGAGAAATCCATACTTTCAGTAGTAGCTTAACTAGGTTTAGCCCAGTAAATTTAGATACAATGCCTTATCCAGGCGGTCTGTCATTCAGATCACCTTTCTGCAGTGATTTTTTTGTTTGTTTTTTTTTAACTTTCATTTAGAAAAACAGTGTTTGGAGTGACGCAAGGATAAGTTCTGTAGTTGGGAGTCCTTGTGAGTTGACACAGAACTGGGATAGATTTCTAGCATAGTCAGCAATGCAGTATCATGGACTGGGCTATTTAACAAGTCTACTCTGTAAGCTTTCTTGTAATAGGTTTTTGGTTTTTTTTCCTTTCCAAAGATCTCTGAAGCTGGAAAACCTCTTCAGTGTTTAATTTACTTTATACTGGAGTCTAGAAAAACAACACAGATCCTTAAAACTGGACATGTTTGGGGTTTTTTTACAGTGTTTTCAGAAACAGTGGTTTCTGAAAAAATAAAAATAGAAAAAAGCGAAGTGGCATACTCAGAAGGTTCTTATTTTTTACCAACATACATGTTAGAGAATAGCTAATGAATTTCTTCCTTTTATGTGATTTCCCATGTATGTAATTCAAGTGCTTTTAAATTATACACAAACCTTGGTAATGAAAAAAGCTTTCTTTTATTGGTAAGAGTTTACTTGCTGTATACCACTGAGATAAGCGTTAGCTTACAAGGAGTTGTCAGTCTTATCTGAATTATAAATTCAGAATCAATAAAGTTATTTCTCTTCTGGGACCTTAATTTTACATGTGGTTTGATAACAGCTGGAACTGAGTTGGTTCTTTATTGTATACAGAATTAGCATAGCTAAGGAATAATTCAAGTTTAAAAATGGTATGACAATAGAACTACAGCATTTTTTTTCTTTAGATTCTTCACGGCTGTGATTATAACTTTCTTGTAAAGACTTGTTCAAGCTAATGATTACTGGTTGGGGTTAATACATATTTACGTATGAACTGCATTTTTAGCTCTTTGAGGAGTAACAACCAAAGTTTAATTTGGAGTACATGCGAGCTTCTTCAGGATGTGATTATGCAAGATTTTTTTCTGAGATCTTCCTTCAAAGGCCGAAGATTGTACAGGCAAGAATTCACATGAAGTTAGAGGGTTTTATTGTGCTGTGGTATAAGTTGTACCAAGTAAGAATTGATGTAAATGATACATTTTTTTTTCTAAACAAAGTAGCTAAACAAAAGGTCCTTTATATAAACACTAGGTGCATAGAAAAGGGGACATTAGCTATATATTGTATTTGGAAAGTTATTTGGTTGTATAATATATATTGCTAATCAGTAGTGAAGTGTGAAGTAATATTTTGTTTCTTCTCGGTAAGATAAAATTGTGTCACTGTCATATGCACACCCTCTAATGGGCTCCCATAATGAAAGTAGTGACTTTACTGGAAATTTAATGAGGAACTCAGCTTTTTCCTTAGGACTGATGGTCTTCATTCAGTAAGAGAACAGTAGTTAAGCCTATTTATTCTTTGCTGTGATTTTTAAACACTTAGAAATATCTGTGAACTCTATTTAGTGCAAAGCTCTTGCTGGCATGGTTGTTCATGAAGGTGCATTAATGTTCAGTTACCAGTGTTGATGGTTTTGTATTTGTAGAGCCTCTTGTCTCTGCTAAACCTGGCTTTTGGAGGAGATGGAAGACATCGGTTAGCTTTGCAGGCTGTGTCATGCTTGCAACAGTTGTGCGTCTTCTTGAGAAGCAGACTTAACTTTCACAGAGATCCAAGTTTTTCTTCCACAGTGCAAGGTAGGTATTTTAAATATTTGAAATGCTGTGTGTTTTCACTACAGTTAAGATTGTCTAAAATTATTGGGGAAAAAAAAAAAGCCAACCCACAGTTTTATAGCAAAATCATCTTGTGAAACTGTTTTGCTAAATGATGGTATTCAGTACTAATCATGTTAGTGAATAATTTTTGATTACTTGCATTATTTTAAAATACTTATTAATTTTTACAATCTGTGATTTTCCATTCCTCAACTTTTCCCAGTATCCAACTCTTTGTATGTCAGCAGGAGAGGGATTTTTAACTAAAACTAAATGAAATCTGTGAAATAAGTTTCAGAAAAGTTTTCAAGCTATTACTGCTTAACAATTTAGTTACTAATTTCATGAACTATGTTAATTTTCTGGTTTTGTTCTGATGGCTGAAAAGAGTTTAATCAATGTTTTGGGTTTTACAGTCATGAGGGCTATTTCACAATGTTCTTAGTGCTTAAATTTTGTAGATTTGATAGTGTAAATTAGTTATAATGATCTGCCTGTTTCCATTTTGTCAGCTGAATTTAATCAACCTTGTTTCTGTAAATTGGTAGTCTGGTTCCCTTCATAAGATTGTCAATATATTTGCTGCCTTAATAAATTATATTGGCTGTTTCTTTGCTAATTCAGTTACAGCGTCAACAAATCCAATAGCCTTAGTCAGACATTACGTTTGTATTTTTAAAACTCAAGATTTATGATTCAACTGTAATTTTCAGTGGTTTTGCCTTGGAATTGAGTTTCCAAACTCTGCTAGTTGTCAGTGATACGTTGTCCTAGCTCTCCAATATTTGCTTGGTATTTTCCATACCCTACCTTAGTTACTTTTAGCATTACTTCACTATGTAATATCATTCAGAATAATGGATTCCACTAATGGAAAATGTATGATTTGTGTTACATAAAGGCACAACTTCCCAGAATTCATCTATATCTTACTGTCAAGAAGCAAGAGGTCCTCCTCCTTCTCAGAATCCATCACCTGGAAGTAGTAGCCCTCGGCCATCTGTGATTGGACGGACCGTTCAGCGTCCTAGGGGAGATGGTCAGGATTGGGATGCAGTGTCTTCCAGGTGAATAAAATAGGAAATAACTTAGGATTTAATTAAAAAATTATTAATATAGGATTATATGATCAGTCAGTGTGTGGGATGATGTGAGAGTTTTGTTAACCTGTGAAAATTCAAACCATGTTTATGAATTAAGCAGGCAGTTCTTTAAGTGGTGTTCAGAATACATAGGATCAATTTTACCTGCCACATTCTGTACCCAACCAACAATTTTAACAAAATCTCTTAGTATCAATTGTTATTGCTTGTGCATGTATTTGTAAGACACAGAAAAGCATTTATTCAGATTATTGCTGTAAAGTTAGGGATTTTTCTTTTTCTTCAGCAGATGACTCCGTAAGTTCTTTAAGTTGAATGACCGTTCCATATGTAACAGTGTACAGTATTGTCAAAAATGCGATGCTGTATCAAGATTTCCATTAAAGTCTTTAAACCTTGTTGTTAAATCCGACAACAAATTTCAATTGTATAAAGTCTAAAATTTGACTCCAGTGTGAAATTATGAATTGTCTGCACACCCTCAAAATGTTGAGGTTTTTGTTTGTGTGCTGTTTTGTTACTCAGCACAACAGACTTAAAGCTGCTGTTTGAGAACCAATGTCTTTTAGTATGTAAGAATTTAAAAGTTCTTGTGAATCCTTGCTCTGTGCTTGTTGATAGTTCTTTTGAGTCTCTGTAGTATATTGGCTTAGCTGATTGAGTAACTCCTAGGTATTCAAATAGACTGTGGTATTACTGATGAGAATAGCTCACATAATTAGTTGTAAATGCATCTTGAGAGTCATATTAAATGGTTATTTTTACTCATCTTAAGTCTTATTAAAGTTATTTTTGCTCATCTTAATATTAATTTTTTAATATGTAACTAATGCGGCACCGTGAACGAACTCCAGGCTTTATGTGTACTAGGACCTGACCATTTTCCAAAGTTGAAGAGTTAACAGTTTAATAGTGTCTGATGTGTATTGTCCGAGAGAGAGGGATGGCCTGGCTAGCAGTGTAATAAGGAAATCTATGGAAGAGTGAGCACCGGTTAAGGCGCTGATGAGACATCTACAAACCAGGGAGTGGTAATTTATTGAAAGTGTAAGACCATGTTATGGGCTGTTCATGACTGTACGCTTTTATCTTCTTGCATCCTGTGTGCTGCAGTAGAGCTACTCACTGCCCATGAACCGTGCTTCTTACAAAGATATAATTTAGCCCAGAGGCAGCCTAAAGAAAAATGTTATATTGAACAGAAAATATGATAAAGGGACATGACCATAGTGTTGTTCAGACATTGTTGATTTTGATATGAAAGAGCTGCTCTTAGAGAATCTTGTCTTTTTCAAGATAATTGTAATATAAATTACTTGTTTATTACCATTCCAGATGTAACTCTTCTTTTATCTTGTTCTTAAATCTTGAGACTCTTCAATCTATCTGTTTGTCTGTTTCAAATTCTGCCTGGAAACTTAACCTTTCCTCTTCTGAATTGTTTTTATGATTGATACCTCTCCTTCCTTACCCTCTGGTAAGTGCAATCAGAACCGCTATAATTGGTGAACTCTTCTGTTTTGCTTATAATCTTCTATCAACCTCTTAAATTCAGTTAGCTTTTAAAATCTTAATTACTACACCTTTTACATTTAGTGAGACAATATAATGTAACACAGTCATACCACAATTCAGTTTCGTCAGCATGTTTAATAATAAAAAAAGCAACCGAACAAAAAACAGCTATAAAAGTCATACAGGTTTTTAAAGCAATTCAGGATTGGTCAGTGTTGTTTAGCGTAAGAAAAAAACATCAAAAAACATTTGTTCTGAGTTGTGTTAATTACAATGCTGCCAGTGGAATTAGATTCTTTTTGAAAGCAGTTAGAAAATAATAAAATTATGAACTATAGAGAGAGCTCAGAATTTTAAATAATTATGTCTATAATAACTATATGTTTATTTTGTAATACATACTTGGTTGCAATTAAGGCTTTCTTGGGCAGGGGAATATTTTCTGTTTTACAGTGAACAAAGAAGTCCTACAGGCTTAAACATAGACTTAAACAATTTTCTTTCTAAGAATTCTTATGGCTAGCTGCACAGAATAGTTTTAATGTAGTAGGTATAGTTCAGGCTGAAATTTGATTTAATAGTGACCTTGCTTCAAGCAACTGATAGACTTTGTTCATCAGAAGTAATGTTTCAAATCAACTGATATTGATATCATATTCATTGCTTGTATATTTCTTTCGGTACACATTTCTAAGTGCATTTGAAGATGGCTGCCAAAACAGTATGCATTCACTTGTGATGCTACCAGTTCTGACATTTAAAAAACTAACCAAACAAAATCCCCCTCTTCCTGCATCACTGGTGGATAGCACAGAAAGTTTGGGATGGAAGGAAGGATATGCATTCAGGAAGGAGGACTTTAAAATACTTGATGCTATTTTTAACATCTATGCATATATGGGTTTTCTCTTTGCAAGAATGAACTATGTCTCTTTTTTTATTTATTTTGTTTTCTTTGTTTGTTGTTTTAAGTGGAAACAGTACTCAAGCAAATGCAAACTCCAGAATCTCTCTGCATTCCCCACTTGATGTAGGACATATTGGTCTACCAGACAATGAAAATGAGGACACTTTGGAATTACAGATGAAGCAGCTTAGCCTTCCTCAGTTCTGTGTTTCCATCTTGGAAAATGCAATACCTCTTCTAAGAACAGGTGAGAAAGTTTTGAATTGAATTAAGTGTTTCACTTATCTGCCCTTCCTGTCTTTAGTACAAACCTCAAAAGAAGTTGGTATTATGAGGTGAGTACTTCAAATAAATGAGGTAGAGGTGATTACCGATATACTGTAGCTAGTTAATAGTTCTTTTCTTGTGACTTTGTTCGGGTCATAAGGCTTGAATCTTCCAGAATTGCTGCAGAAATTTCAAGTGCTTTCCTGATGGTGGGAAGTAGTGGTAGGAAGAAGTGGGTGTGTGGTGGAAAAACAGTGTGGCTGGATAAAATGTCATTCAACAAGATGAAAAAATAATGACACTTAACAAAACGTGTTCTGATCTCTTCAGACATAGAGTTTTCTTCCTGTTCAAGAAATAATAAACAAAAATTCTGGGAAAAGGTTGATTTTTAGTCTTACGAATGCAGTATCAGATTTTAATTATGTTTTAAGAAACTGAAGTAATGGTAGTCTAATTGCAAGTAATGATTTTTGTTTTAACTTGTAAAGGTTTGAAACTGCAATGACTTTTTGAAGGACAGTCATTTTGCACTTAGGTTATCTAAAATTGTTTTACAACTAAATACTATGTCATTCAAAACAGATATTGGTAAATGTGGTAAGGTTTTCAAATATAGGAGCTAGAAATGTATATCTATCTATGACTAGGTTACTAAAAGTTGGTTTTTTAATATACCTCTCAACATTTCCTGAGCTTGGTAGAGGCTTTAACTTATAAAAATTCTATGAAATGGGTATGAAACTTCCATTTACTGTTGTTTTCATGATTGTATATGTTTATGACTTTCTGTCCTGTCACAAAATACTAATTTACTTGTGTATTTCATAGTAACATCAGCATTAATCTGTGTCCACAGGAAAATTACTCAATCTTTTTTTTTTTTGGTAATAAATCAAACTAAAACGAATAAAAATTTTGTTTTCCCCTTTCAGAATAGTGAGATTTAAATATTAATTTTTCACAAGTGCATTCATGATTTCTGGCATCTTCGCTTTTATTTATAATAGAAAATACGTTTTCTGCAGTTTTACATTTTTTTACATTTTCCATTTTTAGGCGCATGTTACTTCAAATCTGCAGAGTTAAAATACAGTGAGTTTTTCCATCTTTCAAGATTCTTTGCATCTTATCATAGAACTAAAATGGTTTCATTTTCAGATGAAGTTGATCTGTCTTTTTTACCCTCAGTTTTTTTACACTTTTTAAACTCTACTAGATGGCATTTCTTCTTTCTTCCACTGTGCTATAATGAGACATAGATTGTAAGCAAACTAGTATTTTTATCCTGTTCTTATTGATCTGAAATGCTGTGATGTGAAGGCACACTGGGATACTGTGAGACTGCAACACACAGTACCACACTGTTTCTTGTGTGGTTATATTTTCTGAATTGTTTTCTTTAGTAAAATCAGCAGGCACATTTACTAATGTTAATATCACCTTATATGATATAGTGTAGATTTTCTTCTAACTGTTTAAATTACTGGGTAAACGAAGATCAGTAAGCTTACTGTAAAATCCACTTGCTTGTATTTTACAATATAATGTGTGTTTCATTTAAGTTCAAATTCTGTTCCTTGTGGAGATGTTCATTGGAATTTTTCTTCCTTTGTGCTGACCTGCGTTGAGTGAAGTCATTTCAGAAATCAATAGTGGTGTGGGTTGTGGTTTTTTTAGTTTTGGTGGTTGGTTTTTATTGTGTTGTGTTTTTTTTTATTTGTGATCAGTTTTAAGCTACCATACTTGCCTGAAGTTCAGTGTTAATACTGCATGTCTGAAAGACAATTATTTAAATCTGAACAGCAAAAGATTTGTTTTACAGTCGTTGATTATATCTGTCTTACTGTGCATTTAGTAGTAATGAAGACTTAGCACATACTAATTGTCGCAGGTGTTGGGAAATGAGTATTTTGCTGATATATTCATGTAAGAGTATGGTAGAATGAACTTGCATGTCTGTAGATCATGACAACTACAGCAAAGTGCTGTTGCGGATGTTATGTTTAGTTACTACCTTAAAACTATTTCTGAAACCACAACTCAAATTAAAACCACCATTATTTAATACTTGCATCATAATGGAGAAATTTATTAAGTCACCTTTCAAATGTGTTAAACATAGAAATTTGATTAAGAATTTGCAAAATAATTGTGAAGAGAGAAAAAGTGCTTTTTGGAGTTTTCAGGCATAGACTCTTCAAATTGGCAATGTTTTGCTTAAAATAAATAGAGAACAGCACTTCTGTGAGATAAGAAAAAGCAATCTTTCAAGAAGGCCCTGTGCCATTCTCTGCCATATGCTCGCTCGGAGCAGATCACTTAGGCTGCAAATTGCATGAGCTGTGGTCATTGTCACTATATAAGTAGTCACACATGTACACAAACTTTTTTTTTTCCTCAAGTATGTCAACAAGGCTTCTACAGTGTGTAAAATCTACAAAAGATAGGAAAACTGACAAAGAAATTAATGTTCAATCATAACAAGCAATAGAGCTTGCTTTTTTTTTAAACAGATTTTGAAGGATGCAAAATTTTTGTGGTAGTTAAAAACTAAATTGGAAATTCAATGGTGGTGTGTGAAATCCATCCATGGTTCTAAATAGAAACATACCATCAACAAGTAACAGAGCCAACAGTTGCACTAAACTGAGTATTTGGGGGAAACTGTCACTCTATGGTTCCCTAGGATGCCAGGCAGTTTTGGCATCCTCTGTTGTATGAGGTCGAAAATGTTTGGTCCGGCTCCAGATATTCTACCTTGTTCTTCATGAAACCTTCTAGCCTTTGACTGCTTCTCCTGTAATGTCTGATTACCTGGGGACGTTAGGGGTAGGTTTATATTAGCAGTAAATGTAGGCTGTAAATGTTTAAGCTTGGGCCAGGTTTCTTTGCGGTCCTGTGTTCAAGCATAGAACTGTACAATGTATAAAAGTCACTAATAGACAGACAAGATTAGCCTTGTTATTAAGAGATACTGAATCAGAAGGAGCAATTAAAGTGAGTAAATATTAGCCTAAAAACAAGGGGAGGAAATTGTTATGGAGAAACGTACAAGTGGATAAAGTGAGAATTTGTGTCCTTGCCTTTCCAAAAGAAGATCTCAAACAAAATAATCCAGGAAGAAATTTTTTTATACCAAAAATGCAGATTGACAGAGTAGGTAATATATATGGAAGATCTGTAACCTAAATGTCTGGGTGGGGAAAATAAGTGGCTTTACTGGACTTCTTTGAAGTTCAGAATAATTGGATTTACAGCTGTAATAAAGTTTATGTAGTACTATAGGATTTCAGGAAATGCGATCTCTTTTCAAGTATATGATTGCTTTAATCTCTTCTGTTGTCATTTTGGCTAGTTGTTGTCTTCCATGATTCAGAGCTATTGGTGGTTGAGGGCAGTTAGCATTAGTTTAGTAGGAGTGTATAAGAAAATTAAAATATAAGAATTTAAGATTTAGAGTAATCCCTTGTTCATAATGATGTTTTCTGAATATCATCATAAAATATTTTGTCTGTATTTGAATTTATCCTCTCATTTGTATTCCTAGGCAGTAGGAGAGTGACGATGGATGTTCTTGAATTGCTTGTTGAAGACATGTTCCTTATTGGTGATGCTATTTCTGAAAATATTTGGGAAGATGATAGCCTTTTTGCATTGGAATTGGTAAGAATCTTTAGGCTTTGATCAGCCGTATTTAACAGTTTGCTTTTATAAGCCTTTGACATTTTCTGCAGTGATTCATACACATATCTAATCTTCTGCTGAGCTACCCTTTTGAAAATCTTAAATACTTTATTACTAGTACTATCAGTGGCACTTTTTTTTTTAAAATGTAAGTTTTTTGGGGTTTTTTTGGGTTTTTTTGGTTTTTGTTTTTTTTTTTTACCAAATGATGCTTGGAGTTTCACCTCAAGAAAACAAGTAAAGAATTTTGTCTTGTAGTGAAAGGCTGTTAATAAGCGATTGAGAGAAACATTTTTTTTTGGGGATCTGAGGGAAAAGTACTGACTACAAACGTTGGAGACTAGTTTGGTGTAAATGATAACTTTCACTTTCTTTACTTCTTATAAACCATCTGTTTAAAATTAGGGAGGTAACTGTTTAGATTACCTGGAATTGCAAGATACGTGGTATCCATTTCCTACACAGGACCTATAGATCCCTGCACAGATTCCAGCTATCCTTAACTGTTGCTTGGCTGGGAAAGAAAGGAGAAGGCTTTTTGGCCCACAAGAGATTCTTGACTAAAACTTGACTAAAAACTTAGTTAAGTACAGTCTTAAATGCACATAACTTAAGTTAGAATTCATGAAAATACCACTGAATATGAAACAAAGGTATTGCAATGATTATTAATTAAAATATTACTGTAGGCTTCCTTATTCTCTATTTTACAAATAATACGTGTATTATTTATAGGACCTAGCAGTAAATGAGAACTTTTTTCTTTGAATTTAATGTACTGATCTGTCAAAATCTATAATAAATGATCAACATCAAGTCAGTACTGAAGATTCCTTGAAGAACATTGAATCTAAAGAGCTTAATGTAATCTTTTGTCTAGTTGTTGTATGACCTGAATCAGTATATTCCATTGCATATAAATCAGTCAAGGTACAGTAGAAACTGTGAGCATCATCACGCGTATCTCATACTGATTGTTGTTAGTAGGGTAATGTTTGTTTCTGGGCTGCTAACAAGCAAAACTCTGCAAATAAGCTGGGTAATTGTATACAATTATATTGGGTTTTAAAAAAAGAAAAAAACCAAAGTCTTTGCTGATATAGCTTTATTCCATTGGTAGAACTTTGAGATTTAGATCTGAAAAGTATTTTATTAATAAAATTCACCTCCCATTGAAAGTTATGAATCTGCATCAGTTTGTGATGCAGAGCTGCACTGTGCAGTGCAATTCAATAAAGCTAATTTTGATAAAGCAATTGCAAGGCAGGATATAAAAACCAGCTCTTCATCTTTCTTAGTGTCTGAGTAAATAAAAATAACTGAATGGACAATTTCAGGAAACAACTGTTAAACTTACCCTTATATTATTTGGTAGCGTACCAAATAATTTTTTTTTTCAGAAGTAGAGTGTGTTTTTAGGGTTGTTAGGCTTCAGTACTTGGAAAACACGCTTCCTCTTTCTGTTTTGTATTAGCTCCAAGGGAAGGAGGTTGTGTGTCTCCTTTCTAGGAAACTTGAAAGCATTTCTTGCATATCTTTATTTCTTTGTGTTTCTTTGTTTATCCAAATTTAAAACTCTGCACGGGAATATCTCTGTGAAAAATAGATATTTTGGAAATCCCATTCAAAAATATTTAAGTTGGTGTGTGTATTACCCATGGTTTTTATGCTTCCTTCCTCCCAAGTAAAGGTTTCACTGTTTTCCAGTTTTGTCATGTGTACTTGAGTGAAGTTTGATTCTGTCACGTCAAAAGGTTAGATTACCATAGCCCCTCAGCTTTTTTTTGGATCACTGGCTTTGAGACAATCATCCCTGGCTGAGAGACAAATAAACTTTTTGAATCTACTGTTGGTTTGAGACTCCATGATCTTTAAGCAGAGGCTCTTCCCGCTCCTGCAAACTGTAGCAGAGCAGAGAGAAATTTACTTTTTTGAACTCTTGAACATGCAAATGAGTCCTTTTCATCTTGCTGTATAAGAATGCGTGTTGATAATTACTTTAAAAGACTGATTTGATTTAATCAATTGCTTCTTGTCATTTTCTTCAACTATGTTGAGTCAGATAAATAGTGCTTAATTGCTTGACAGTGATTATCAATTTCTGGAATTAATAAGCTAAATCTCACATGTGCTATTGCCTTCTTAATCATTATTTGCCATTCCAAACTGGCAAGTGACATGAATTCTACTGTTCTAGTGTCCTTAAGTACAGACCAGACTTTTTTAGGTGACGAAAATTCTGTAAACTAATTTTGTTTTCTCCGGTGTCAGTGAGCTGGATTTATCCAAATGATAGTGATTCTTGAATAGGATTTTATGTAATCTGAGAAATGTGCTGCTCTTTCGTTTGAGAATGAATAGGCATAAAAAACATTTGATGTTCTCAAAGTTTGGATTGTGGGTCGGTTTTTGAGTGGGTTTTTATTTTTATTTTTTTCCCCTAATTTTAAAGGAAAGCTTTATTAGCAGATCCAAACCAGCTCCTAATATTTCCATATTAAAAGTGAACTTCAAAATAGTTAGAATTCCAGAAGTTCACAAGTGTACTTAGCAGGAATTAAGGGGGCAGGAGGCAGGGAAAGGGAGCGGAGGGGGGAGAGTAACCAGTAATGGGTAATTAGTGGCCAAAGTATTCAGAACTGCGAGTGAAGGTAGAGTGAGGTCTAGAACTAATGCACGGTTCTGGTCAGATGGCAAACAGAATGCTGTGTATTTTGTACCACTTCTGCATTTTTAAATTAGTTGGTATAATTGTGTTAATGGTGCTATGAGTGCTGTATAAACACTGTAAAGATACAGTAATGTTTCAATTATTTCTAATGATTGTATTTCTGATTTTATTTTCAGAAAGACAAATTGCTTCTGGTCTTGGGTTTGCTTGGAGAAACTATATTATATCACAAAACCAATATAAGTGCAGAGCAGCCCGAGGTGATGTTAGTGCATCACAGAATGGCATTTATTAGCATTTCACTCTTCACTGTTAGATTACTGCAAATACTTCTCCCTGTAGAAAAGGTATGCCATCACTAATTTTAAGTGATTGTCTTTTGGGTTTGCGTTTTAAGAGGGCAAAAAGTGATACCTTCCCCAGTGATTAATACTGGGAAAATAGCCACTGGACAGAGAAATTAATCTGATTTACATTGGCTGATGAATGACAGAAGGCAACTCTGTCTGTTCTTCAGTTATCAGCGCATTCTGCAGATTTCAAGTCTTCAAAAAACATTTTTAATACAGTTTCTTAATGAGTTTTGAAATTCAATATTCCTTTTTCCCTCTCTAGTGTTTTTTCTGGTATGATGCATGGTTTGCAAAGCTATGCTGCCCCCTGCTCCTTTATAGTATGCGTGCAAGTAAGACTAAGTAAGACTAGAACTACATAATATTTAACATCGTCACTCTTAATCGGATGGAACGTAATAATCAACTATGTTTCATACATTGTAGTGATTTTAATTATTCTTTGCTTCCAATGCTCTTTAAAATAAGTTCTGTTGTAGCTCTTGAGCTGTTCTTTTTTGGTTTGGTTTGGTTTTTGTTGTTGTTTTTCTATTTCAGATGGGGGTGGTTATGTTTGGAAGTTTCTGTGGGATGGAAAGTGTTAGAAGTTGTTTAAACCTGTATGGGTTTACATATTTTTTGGATCAGTTTTTATTGCAGTGTAGCTCTTTTTTTACACATTCTTCAATCTGAGCAGCAGATTGATATTCAGTCACAGGCTTTTTGTCAAAAATATTAAGTCTTTTACTGTTAATATAAATAGTTTCTTGTACCTGCAAATAAGTGTAGACATACTAATCTAATGACTTTTTATAATTTTTGTCTTTATGTTCTTATGTATGTAATACAAAATGTCAATTCCGTGTATGACAGGAGTTGGAAAAAAAGTTACTGTATTTGAGGTCAGAATTTCAGTTGAAGGAATACTGAACTCTTGCAGTAAAAAAAGGCAAAACAACAACAGAAATCCCAATTCTTAGTATGTGATATTACTGTGTGGAATGGTAGACAGCTTTTTATTAAATCCAGGAAGAGTCGTGGTCTGTGTATTCTCTGCCATCTCGTGGTTAGACAGTAAATTGAGGCTGGCCAGTGGTGTGTGTGGTTGGTAGTGCTGTGGCTGGATCATACATAGCTTTCGTGACATGGGGACTGCCATCTAATGAACTCTCACTTTTTAATTTAAAAAAAAAATTCTTCATATAGAACTAATTTGATATGTGTTTCTTTCTCTAATTTTTAAGTAGCAGTAATAGTGATTGTACTTGTTGAAAGACTGCAAATGCTGTTGGTGTTACTGTGTTTTCAGACTGTTATTGACAGTTGTTTTCTTTTTGAAAGGCGAGTAAAGTTTTACAAAAGAGTTTGCTGAATGCTTTATTTCTTCTCTCTCTGGATGTGTCCTTCTCCTTGGAATACCCAAGCATTCATGAATCCATTGCAGCCTATCTGGAGCAGATGAGTACTGAGAACTACAGTATTTATAAACAAGCTTCAGAAGCTGTGTATTCGATCGAATGCACTTGTACCTTTATGGTTGAAGTTCATAAGAAGGTGTGGAATTTTTTTATATAAAATATTTCCTGTAGGCAAATTTCTTTCCTCCACTTCCCTTTCTCAGTGGTAAAAACTATGCTAAACTATAGCCAAAGAAAATCCATACTTGGGAGTATTCCATACTACGCAAGATGTACTTAATTTATATTTTTCTCTAAACACTTGGAGATTGGAAGTGGGCACAAGATGTTTTATTGGCAAAGAAGTAAGAAAGAAGCAAATACTTTATTCAAATATATAGTGTATGTGTGTATATATGTTGTCCACTATTTAAATAGTTCAGAAAATATTAATTCCCAGCTACTTGGCAGTTGTAGCTCTAATAAACATCTACTTCTAGACTGTGTGAGATTTGTGTGTTTCACTTTGTTATGAAGACAACTAATATATTTTACTTTATCAGTTAGGAGATTCCAGCACAGCACTGAAGTATTCTTCTCCATTATCCAAATGGAGAAGTAATTGTGCAAAATACTTGTTCTGTTGGTACTAAAATAAGTGAATAAAATACAGCAATATAAATGTAGTGCTAACTTAAATCTGTGTTAATCTATCCTTCATATAGGCAGGTTCTGAACTTAATAGAAGCAATACTTATAAAATACTGTTTACAATGAAGTTAACTCCATCAAATTTAAATGGCTCATGTTTAATGTATTTGGTAACCAAAAGGATGAAGTCATATGTACTTAAATTTTAAAAAAGCCAAACTTACTCTTTAATATTAATAGTGAATTGTTAAAAGTTTAATAGTTAAATCTTTCATTATACTCTTCTCACATAAAATGCATATTGATTTAAAAAATAATAATTTGATTAAAAGTATAAAGTATTCAAGGATGAGTCTATTCTTGAGCATTTTAGAAAGTGTTTTGAATAAAGTTATCGTGTTCTTACTGTGGAATGTTAGACGTACATTATTCCCATTGAGTTTAATAGAAGTTGATTTGGATTCAGCAGCTGTAGGGTTTTCAGCTCCCAGGAGTAGATTTTAAAATTTACTTGTATGAAATCTATTGGATTTGTTAATCAAGTTAATTATAAACCTGTCTGAAAGGCTGAACCAAACCCTGCTTACTAGATGTATTAAGTGATGATAAATTCTGCAAGATTACACAATAATATTGTATACTTTTAATTCTGATAGTTTCTTTCTCTTAATTTTACTTCTCAGGGTGACAAGAGTCTTTCTGAATTAGTAGAATTGGCAGATCAGGCCTTGAGTAGTCTACCTTACCATCAACACTTCCCCTTGATTCAGGAATCCATTCACATATGCTCAAATATGTGAGTATGTTGTTGACAAAATGTAATCTTTTTTTATGGATAAAGTTTCTCAAGTAGAAGCTCAACTTGTTTATTCCCTGTATTTGAGCAATTGTTTTCTTATAGACGTTGAAAGGTCTTTTCTAAATATTTTCTAAATAATTTGTGTCGTTCTGTACTGGATTTATTGCAAATTGAATTTCAGGTGCTAAAAAAAAATGTTCTATTCTTTTCTATGTATAAGCTTCTATGAATTTTGTATATAAAGTTACTATGTGATTTACAAAGAAACAGTCTTAAAACACTTTGACCTGTCTTTCAAATGTCTTTTTAATTCCTTTGTTCCAAGTGTATTTATTTGTGTAACTTTTATTTTACTTTCAGAAATCCTAAAGGACTTATTTTGTTGTAGATGCTGTATATTGCAATATGGCATCTCATTTATTAAACAGCATGTTTTTATTGCTTTTTAGATTTTCCATGTCTCTAGTTAGAGAATTTAAGTTACCCTGTGGTGCCTGGAAAAGTTCTGTATTGAAGACTTAATTAAAAATACGAAATCTTAATTCTATACTGATTCAGAATTTGACTTTAGGGATTTTTTCAAAGGAAACTGCATTTAAGAACTCTCTAATAAGTGTTTGTAAATTATGAAATGTCAGAACACTGAAATGTGTTCTGATACTTTTAGAATTAATTATTGTTTGACTACTGTTTCAGGCAACAGGAAGTTCACTTCAGTTTTTTAACTAACATCAGTTCACTTTGCTTCAGTGAGATGGACTTTTACCTCTACAAGGAAAAAATTCTGAAAGCATAGCGGTTTTTTATAATCGTATAACATGATCTAAGGAGTCTATTGAAGTTCAATAGAATTTTATGTTTTCAGATGAACATAAATGTTTGTCAAGCTCCTAATTTTGATGAGAGAGATTGGAAAAACTATGGTCTCTGATTACCTACATGTATAAGAAAAATACATTTATAAACTCTTGATTTTATTGTTCAACATTTTTTTTTTCAACATAGATTGATACTATGATTTTGTCAAATGTATTGTGATCTCTGAACTTTTGTCTGTCAAGTCATTTTTCACGATGTATACCTTTTCAGGCAGTATTTTTCAGAGATTATCCTGAAATTTAACAGGAAAATTTTTGTAGACATTTTTGAGTACTGCAAAATAAATAATAGTTAAATTAATTATTTTTCATTTTTAGTTGGAAGTCTACTGAGGTTAACTCATTGCTCCAGGCTGAGGGTCAGAAGGTGCTTCTCCATCTGTTGTCTCATCCTTTGCTGAAAATAAAAGCTGAAGCCTATCATTGCTGTTTGGAAGTGGTTAAGGTTAGAACTAATGCTTACTTAACGCTCTTGGTGTTGCACTAAATAATGCGTGTTATATGATTTCCTCATTAAAAGCATTTTTAATGCAAATTCTGTTTACCGTGTTATATGCTGTGAAATCTGTATAGGCCTGGACTTGCAGTTTACTGTTACATTTTTGGTACTAAGTCTACTTGGTTAGGTTATACTTCAGAATGACAGGATCACTAAGGGGGAAAAACAGTGATGGACAGTTTTATTTTTAAAAAGGATTCTTAATGCTGGTCACTTTGTTTTTTTACTGCTGTTATACAGAAATATTTCTGTTTAATTTGGCTTTGGAAAGGAATTCAAGTATTCAATTTTGCTTGTCTGCTGAAATTAGGTTCATAGAATCAGAGACTCATTTGGGTTGGGATCTTTAAAGATCATCTAGTCCAACCCCCCATTTCACTTGACCAGATTGCTCAGAGCCTTGTCCAGCCTGGCGTTGAATGTTTCCAAGGACGGGGCATCTATCATCTCTCTGGGCAACCTGTGCCACTGCCTCACCACCCTCACCGTGAAGACTTTCTTCCTAATATCTCATCTAAATCTTCCCTCTTCCAGTTTAAAGCCATTGCCCCTTGTTCTGTTGCCCTTGTTAAAAGTCCCTCCCCAGCTTTCTTGTTGGCCCCTTTAGGTACAGGAAGGCTGCTCTAAGGTCTCCCCGGAGCCTTCTCATCTCCAGGCTGGACAATCCCCAACTCTCTCAGCCTGTCCTCACAGCAGAGGTGTTCCAGCCCTCGGATCATCTCCGTGGCCTCCTCTGGACTCGCTCCAACAGGTCCATGTCCTCCTTGTGCTGAGGACCCCAGAGCTGAAGGCAGTACTGCGGGGGGGTTCTCACCAGAGCAGAGCAGAGGGGCAGAATCCCCTCCCTCGACCTGCTGGTCATGCTGCTTGGGATGCAGCCCAGGGTACAGTTGGCTTTCTGAGCTGCCAGCGCACATTACCGGGTCATGTTGAACTTCTTGTCAACCAGCACCCCTAAGTCCTTCTCAGGGCTGCTCTCAATCCATTCTCCCCCCAGAGAGAATGTTGTTATGTTTTATTTTGGTTTATATGGAAGTTTTGTCCATGCTATAGTTTTTTATTAAGATAGCCCAAGGGATAAAGACTGTGAACTTCCTAGAAGTATAGCTGTACTCTATATAAAGAATGACCATGTCATATTCATCAAATCAGTAATATTGGCTCACAAATAAAAATTACTTCTCTATTTTGATGTATTTTGTCATAATTCTTATTTTCTATAATGGACATCAGCTAAACTTAGTGTACTTATAGCCCAATTCACTAACGTACAAAGATGCTGGAGCTAGTCTTTCACTAAAAAAACCTTATCTCCACTGAATGACACTTGTATGTTTTTGTGAGATTTTTACCTGCCTGTTTTAGGTTTTGCTTATTTTAATGTAATACTGAACAACATACAAAGTTTATTTAATTTATTGTAACTATTATTTAAAATAAAATTATTTTCTATTTCTTAGTCCTGTGTAACAACAGGAATTTACAGTCAGTGATCTGTAGAGGTGGTGTTTCTTCCAGGGCTGTAGTCTTCCAAACTGCGTGGAGAAAGCCTTTCACTGGATGACAACTGCAGGCAGTCTATAAAACAAGATGTAGTAGCGGAGACTGTTTTGAATTTTAAAACTAACCAACTTTTTATTTTTACTGAAGGACTGTTTAGGTATTCATAATATTGCTAAGCCTGTGTCTTCAGTCTGCCACGGAGTACATTTTCTTCTTCATCCAAAAGTTCTATATGAAATCTGTACGTTCGGCCTTCAGGAAGATAAGAGTGAGGTACTGTCTTTAGGAACTATATTTATAAGTTGATGTGCGTGCAAAGTAGGTGTTGATATTCTCCATGGTAGCGTGAGGCTTACCTGAGGTTTTGACTACATACTGTTTCTTGTATATAGAAAAGCTATGCAAACAGTGAAGTTGTAGTAAATGGAAAGAATTTTTTTTATGGTGAATTCAGGGACAAGATAATGTTATAGGCATAGGATGCTATTAAATGTAATAAAGGCCAATGAAAAATGAAACAAGCTATGTTTTTTAATCTTTTCCTGTAATATATTCAGCCCTAATAAAATGTGCATGTGATGAAACAGGATGTGTGATGCTTTACATTTATGGAAAACATGAAGTCTTGAGTCTTTGTAAAGGTGGGATGACCTCTGAAATGTGTGCACGAATTGAGGAGCAAAAAGACATTTTAAATCTGCAATGTCTTTGCTATAAAAATATATTTCATCACTACAAACACATCTGTGTTTAATTACCTGAGCATTATAGAAGTGTTTTATACTGTTATAGAATAGGACTAAATTTCCGTTGGGTTCATTTATATGCATGAATGCTTAACATATGTCCGTTATTTCCTAGCTTAAGTAATAAGCTAAGAAGAGAGTTCTGAGAGGGGGGAAAAATTAGTTATTTGTAACTGCTTTATAGCTGATCTATAAGGTCCTACAGTCAGAGAGGAAAAAACATTGACTGACAAAATTTTTTTTTTCTTCAGCTTGTCTCCTGAAAGGAGGGTGTTTTTTTAACACAGTACTGTGCACAATTCCATTTAGAAGTGATCTTTTAGATGTTAGCATTTCCAAAGCAGAAGTAAAATATCTTTGATAATGTGCTATGTATTTGCATGTAATTTATGTTTTCCAAGAAAAGCATTTTTGTTGGATGCTTTATTAAAAAGGCTGCCAGTTTTCTTTTTTAGTGATTGGTCAAGTATAACAAATAGAGTTCAACTGGTATTGAATTTAAAAAGACCATTGAGACAGAGAATGCCTGTTTACAAAACTATCTCATTTTGTTCTCTTTATCTTATAATGCTTTCTATATATTTTGTTACAAGAATAGTAAATGAAGATCATGTCCAAGCATTTTTTTTTTTTTTTACTTCTTGGTGTATATCTGCTATTAAGTTTTCATAAAGCATCAGTTTGCTCTTTCAGGCGTGTGACAATGAGAAGAAATTGAGAAGAACCTTGTATTCCAAGGTTGGACTTAAGATTTGCCATGTGACTTTACAAATCCAGTCGCTTAAAGATAGGCTAGAGTGATATTATTAAAGGCTGTTCTTGTTGCCTGGAGCGAGAGGATTTTTAGCTCTGGCATAAAATGCAGGTTTTTAGCTGCTAAAGGTAGGTGTTTTTACACAATGTAAGGAAGAGTGAATTCTGACAAGCTGAGTTTTTTCCCCTCTGTTTCCATTGTAGTAATAATAGTAGCTTGTAAATACTTTAATATTGTATGTAGTATACTGTATACAGGGTATGTTAATACAGTATAAGTGCTGTATCATATACCTTTTTTCCTTTTTGATAAAGAGCTTCAGATGAATTCACATACAATTTGAAGTACTTGGTAACCTTTGTAGTTTGACTGTTTGCCTCAAACTGAAATGGCCAAGGTACAGGCTTTAAGTCTGTTTTCTTCCTTTATGTTCAGGAGCATATCAAAGACTGGGAATGAAATGCCCCAGAAATGTAGGGTTAGGAAAGAAAAAAATGGAATTTGTTATACCTACAGGATAGAGGGACCAGTAGGTATATAAATTGAAGTAATGATTTTATTTTTTATTATTTCAGAAAAGACAAACCAGAGTTCTAAGGGGAAAATAATTGGGTGCTATTTAGGCAAAACTAATTGTGTGTTTTCTCTAAGTTGCTAGAAAAGCCTCTCAATGTTTAGTGTGACTGACTTTTAAAGTAGCATTCTGCAGTGACAATATTTTGTCTGTAGATCCTTTCTCTTTGAAATACTTTTGTATAACATTTCCAATTACAGCATTGACAAACTGACCTAGACGTATCTGTGGTTGCATTAGTTTCTTTTTTTTTTGTTGTTGAGCAGGTGAACTCTACAGCCAAGGCTATTCTGATGCATCTGTTGCAGGGACGATTAGTAATGGCAGTATTGACTTGGAACAAGTTTATGGAAGCCCTCTATCCCGTCATTCCTGTTTTACAGGTACTTCCAAGTGCTTTAATCTGAATTTGATGTATGAAGTCATGTAAACAGCAACACTATCATATTAAACAACAAACAGAATATTCATCTAATTAGCAGATGGAAAATAGATTAACAGAAAAATACCTGTGTCAGATGTCAAATGCAGAAATGTTTTATAAGGGTCCTATTACTTGTAGACAAATTTTAACCTGATATTACTAGAATGTAGAACTTTGAAATGTTGTAGTAGAAATCAGCAACTACTGACTGGGACTTAAGTGGTTTGAAGATATGAGTGGATAATCCAAGTATAGATTAAAACATTTCATGCTTTTTACAATTAGTTAATAATTATTAGAGTGTCCCCATATCTTAAATTGTAACTCCTCTGTGATGATGATACAGTTTTCTCATCAAGCATGTGCTCAATAAATAGCAATAGGTGTAAGCTGTATTTTCTGTATATTTTGATACTTGTTTTTTGGTTTCTTTGTTTCCAATATTATAGAAGTATCAATAGTCAGTGTTACCCTTAGACTTTAGTCTTCATATCTGTAACAATGTGCAAATTACTCTTGGCTTGATCTAATGGGAACTTTTGTCTTTCTCAGTCTGATTTTTCAACCTGATGGCTCCATCCAAATTCTTTACTGTGTTTCTTCTCTAGTGCTAGAAACTTCCCTTCTATGATCTGCCTATAGTCTTCCAGATTAGATATTTTGCTGCACCTATCTGATGTCTGTTTTTCCTGATGTCTGTTTTTTTGCCTTATTTCTGTCTTTTATTTAACTTAGCTAGTACATCCAAGTATACTTTTTGTCTTCGTTTTCTCCAAAAGTATCACTCTTGATAATTTTAGCTACTGCTATATATTTATTCATTGCCTGCACCTTAGTATTACCATAAGTTGAAAAAGCTGCTTACATAATTTAAGCCCTTACATAAATTGCAGAAAAATCAAGGCAAAAATGGGGAGAAATTACCAGTAAGATGGGCCATGAAATAGAAGGCTCAGAAAAATATGCAGAGGAAATACACTGAGAACTTGAAAGTGGTGGGACAGAGGTTACTTCAGAGCTTTCTCACCTAGTAATGTCAGCTTTTCTGTGTTACCCTCATACATATGTGCCATTGATATTCAAGATTAAATAGGTGAGAGCTTAATACAAACTGTAGGATAAACATGTGAGAAAGAACTTACCCCGGTTCTTATTTTTGTGAGTAGAATTTTTGTCTATTCTGTAGCCTGTAGTGGCTACGTACAGTAGATACTTGAGCAGAGCATACCACAGGCCTATATTTACCTGATGCATATAAAATGCGTTGTATTTTACTCTAGTGTTTAAATGTGTGCAGTATCATTACTTGATGTAACTGATTCTGATTTGTCTTGTTTGTGTGTGAAAATGTTTTGATGAAATACCTGAAAATAGGTAGGATTTAATGTTTTGAAGTAATTATCTTGTAGAGACTGAATTTTATTCATTGACATGGAAACTGACCTTACAGAGCAGCATCATGTTAACAGATTGAAGTGTAAAGCTTCATGTCAAAGTACCTCTGGGCCTTGTAAAAATCTTTATTTTGATTTGTGTACAGCATCATTTACTAATTTTTAAAATTGTTTTTAGAGAGGAATATTAATCTTCAGAAATTGAATGTTTTCTTGAAAGTTACTGCTTTTTTTTGGGTGTTGCTCCTTCCCCACCCTCCCTTAACCCCTAAAAGGGGTATTACCTTGTCTAATTTGCTAAGTTAGTAGGCAGATTTTTTTTTTTTTAATTTTGGAAATTGTTGTTGTTTGTTTGTTTTAGGGTTATGCTGACACAAAAGATACGCTAGGTAACTGTATCCTCACTTTGAGTGAAACAACCTCTGACAAAGGAGAGGGTATTCTCCCTAGAACTACTAGACTACGGGCTGCTCTGCGTCTTCTTTTCTCAAAAAAACAGTTGTAAGTAACACCCTGTAGCATTTCAGCATGTCTTCTAATGTTAATGACAAAAATGTATTCTCTAAAAATACATTGATTATTATGCAGTGGGTTGATTTGAAAGGTAGGTTAATCAATATTGAGTTGAATAAGTGCTTCCCCCTGTAATAGTTTTATAAACTAATTAATTTTTAACTATACAGCTAAAGTTTTCCAGTATGAGGACTTTATATATTTATTTTAATTGTTTACTCCTTTAGGGTTCGTTCTGTAGCACTTAAACATTTAACATTCCATCTTTTGAATGAAGAAGGGGCAAACCTGAAACGCCCGCATCTGCATGGTAGCGTGCTTTCTACCATTTCAAACTTATTTATTGTAGAAAGAGCTATTGAGCTGAAATTGGATGATAAAACGGAGTCAATAATTAAGGTGAGTAAACTCTGTCTAAATATTGTCATTGATCAGCTCTCCTACCTGCTCGGTTGCTGAACTTATCACTTTCTGAAGGTTGCAATATTTCATACGAACTGGTTTGCTTCATAAAAAGAAATCTGTTGATATGTTCTTTCTGCGTGAACTTAAACAGTAGTTTTTATGCTACTGTATGCAACAATAATAAAAGAATTCCTTACTTTTTTTTTTCCTCTCTGCAGCTAAGTTAACAGCAAGATTTAACTTGAATACAGAAGGCACAGGCCTGCTCTTTACAACAGTTCAATGTGCATGGATAGTCTGATTTTTTTTTTTCCTCACCTAGAGCTCTTTTCCCCACAAAATCAATTTTTACTGAAACAGGCACAAGTATTTTTTAATATAAAATATTTTAAAACAGATTACTAATTTATCTCTGTTTTCTTAATTTTGCTGCTTTTGCAAAGTGAAAAAAAAAAAATCACAGATTTTTGACCTATGGGAAAACTGATATCTGTTTTCTGTTTTTTTTTTTTTTTTACCATCTCCCATCCATTCTACTTCATTCTTTACCTTCAGTGTTTTCAGATTAATAACAAAGTTAAACACAAACAAATGCTAAGATGCTTTTCCTCTGAAAAAAGTTATTCTGACCGCTCATTATGCACTTGATTTATACTCTTCCCCTACATCCTTCAAAATATTAGGACCTCAAATTTGTATGAATATGTAGGATTATTTAAATTTCTCTAACCCTATTGCCATTAAAAAGTCAGTCCTCTTCACAGATTTAGAAGCATATTCTAGCATTTTTGTGTAATGTTGAGCTTTCTGTAGTCCTACATAAATTAAGCATTATTTGTTAGATATCTGCATCTATTGTGCACTAGAATCTATTGCCTTGTTATATTCCATGTGAGATCTAATCAAATACATTCTAATAAGGAATTTAGATCTTTTTATTTTCTACTTTCTGTTAGGAAATTTGGCTGGTTACCTTGTTTCATAAGAGCGTACTGGATGTAAATCTAATACAGTTTTACTTTTAGGCAGAAACTGTTGAAAAGCTGTATGATATCTTGACCTCTGATGCTGTTGACCTAGTTTTACGGAAGTCTGCGGCTGAGCAGCTAGCTATCATTTTAGAAGGTAAAATTATTCAGAAAATTTCTATTCATGTGCTGATTGTTGCATGAGCTTGCAGTTTTGCTAGGTTTTCTGTATGTTTGTGCTAAGAGTATTCTTTGTAATTTTTATGTATATTGTTGGACCAAGTGATGGTCAATATAAAACACATATATATTTTTGATGGTTTTGTATTTTAATTAGAAAAGTTAATTCTTAGATTACACAGGCTAGCTAAAGGGATTTTATACTTAGTGAAGAATGTCTTCTATCATTCTGAATTTCTTCATCAATTTTGAGTTCGCCTAAGCAGTAACTACAATTAAAGTGGATTGAAATGTGATTTGTATGAATGACGGCTCAGTAAACTCAAGCTAAGCTTCCATGATTATACCCTTTTTCAATATCAAGAGACAAGCTTCCTGTGGAATTTCATCTAATATGTTTGCAAGGGAAGTGTTCCTCCTTTTACTCTTTATGGCTTAAGTGACTAATCATAAATTTCCATCACAGGTGGTTTTTTTATAATTGTGTTGCTCACATGGGGAAAAATTATGAATTCTGGTAAAGAAGATCTGATTGAATTAAGATGCAAGTAAGCAATCTTACATAGAGCATTATTTGACTCAGTGCAGGGTCATAACTGTAGAGTTTCAAACCTGGATGTTTGTACTCTACCTACTCAAACTCTTCAAGTAGGCTTTCTTCAAGGGACTCAAATCCTAATGATACAGCATAGATTTTTCACCATGGGAAGGTGAAGTCTTAGATAATGTTAACTTTAACATTTTTTATGTCAGAAAAATGATCACAAACGTGAGGAAGTATCTACTTTGTCTTGTAAAATACACTTAGTTATGGCTGCCAAAGTTCTCAGATGCCAAAAGATAATATGAAACATAGCATAGGTTGACATTGTAAAAGAAAAAACACAGCTTTATTAGGACAAATTTCATGTGAAGGACCACTTTATAATTATTTAGAAAAAAACAACAAACCCAACCAACCCAAATGACATAACTTTTTTGTTGTTGTTGAATATTCTTAAACCAAATACTCTGAAGGATGAGATCAGTGGAAAATACTCTCATGGTGATTGAGTAAATACCTTTTTTAGTTTCATGTTAAACTGTTAAGGACTTTAAATATTACAAGTTGAATCCTCTTTTGACTGAGAATGAGTTGCACTGTGGATCACTGTAATTGTGGAACATAAAGTTCTTAGGGAAAGTTATGTAAGATATTTAAGAATCTGATGTTCAAGAGGCTACTATAGTTAGATAACAAGACTTTGAGGAGTCTTGCTGTGATAGAGCTAGAGCTGTACTTGTTTTGTTGATTGGCAATTTTGGAAACTTGTTCTCAACAGCAAGAGTTTGTGATCTTGCAGAGAAGTTTAATGTGAAATTGGTGCAGAACCAAACCACTGATTCTTACTATCTTTTTCCTACAGATGCCAAAATGCATGTCATTGTGAAAAAGCTGGGTGTGATAGAAAAGCTTTTGGCTTACCTTAATGAGTGTGTACATGTGGATGGCAAGGTAAAACTATTGTTACAAGTTCTTCCGCAAGCATTGCACAATGTGACAGTAGTAGAATTTACCTTTTTCTGTGCTTATAACACTAATCTTTGTGCATTAATACTGCACAGAATACGAATCTCTAGTAGCAATTGTAATTGCAATATGTATTTTGTTTATTACATTTTTGATAATGCTAAAATTCTTTTAATGAACGAAGATTGGTTTGCCTGCCTATGAGAATAGTTAGCCAGACAACTGTATGTGATGTGGTTCTGAAATAAACTAGAACTTCTCTGAAGCTTTCTCAGTAGAGACCAAAAAAAAAAAATTTTTAATGCCCTTTAAAAAAAGAAGTGTTATATTGTATATCATAGTCTCTAAACTTAAGCTAAACTTAAGTCGTGAAGCAAATTATAATTAAAACGAGATGGTATTGTAAATGGGAATCTACCTGTCAGATTGAGTTTCGGGTATAAGTAATTTTGTACCTAATAGAAGATCACCTCACCAGGGACAGTCTCAGGAGATAAGATCACATCAGAGCTGAGTGTATATTTGTTGTGGATGACCAAGCTTTCCATTTTTGTAGTATGTCTGTTCTGATGCTTGAATTTTTCTGAAATTCATTGTTTGAAATCATTTTATGCAAGCTTATTTAGGCTGTAAGTTGCTTAACATCACTTCACTGGATAAACTTTTTGTATATTTCTTAGTTTGCTTGCACAGTATTGTTGTAGCAGTCCAACAGTCCAAACCTTGAGTTATTTTAAGAAACTATGAGAATTTTTATATAAAATAGAACCAGAAGTGAATAAATGTTTTCTAATGAATATGCAGTTATCATCTGGATGAAATGTGCTTGTCTAAGAAAGTTCTAGGTTTCTCTGCTATAAATGGTGGAATGTATTGCTTCATAGCATGAAAGTATTAAGCATCTCATAATAGATTATCCTAACTGTTATCGGTATTTAATTTTTTTCTCTGTTCTTGCAGCTTATGGAATCCATAGTGTTACCATGTCTAACACTCTTACGCAAACTTGTGTATGCTGATCCAGTTGTTCGTCTGTCCCTAGCACAGCAATCATCTTTACTGCTTTTGCTATTCAGAGGTAAAGATTCTGTTTTAACTGTAATAGATGCGTGGAAAGACAATATGTGAAATACGGTTACATGTTTAACCAAAAGCCTTCTTAAGAACCTTATATCACCTTAGATTCTCTAATATTTAAAAGATAAATCATTGTGTGCTAGTGTTACCCATGTTGTAGCATCTATTGAAGATGTTGGCAAAATGACTGTGGAAATCAGTTGGTTTTAATCAGTGTCCTTCATATATTTATTAAATGTCAGTGTTTTCCTAACACGTTCTTAAATATCTTTATTTTATTCAGTTTCCCTGATATTCCAAAACGATCGTGCTGTTTTAACTGAAACTACAGTATTGCTTTGTCTTCTGTTGTTTGATGAAGTAGCAAGAACAGAAACGTGGTATGAAAAAACAGTTATTTAATGGCATATTCTCGAGTCAAAATTTAAGGTTTTAATGAAAATAAGTTTTTATATATATACAAACAAATTATGCCCCAAAATGTGTCCAAAATTGCGTATTTTAGGCCAAAAAATTCTTTTGATACTTGGGTTGCATGCTGTGTATAGTTCTACATGACATAGTTTTGTAGTATAAATACTTTGTACCTCAGTGTTAATTTTAAGTTTACTTTAACTTTCAAAAAATCCTGATTGGTTTGTAGTCTGTCTTTTCCATAAAAGGAAACTACACAAATCAAATAGCTGGCTGTAGGTGTGAGTTTTTTAACTTAATTAAAATTCTCCTATTTACTTTGGCTTTTAAGTGTAGCAGTTGTCCTTAAACCAACAGACCTTAGCTTGTAATATTTTATTATTTGAAGTTTGCATATACATCAGAAAAAAGGTGCTTTTAGAATTCACACACATGAAATATACTGAAAATAATTGTAATACATATTTTTTCTCTAATATAAAAAAGGAAACAACAGTGTGTGTTGGTATGTTAATTTCATTTCATGTGCAGTACATCTGCAACAAGTATTCTGTATGTGTGTGACCTAAGAACTATCTTAATATTGCATAATCATGAAGAAACATTGCTTATTAATACAAATTATTCATTAATGGGTTACTAAAGACCTAGCTGGAGGGAAAAATACAGCTATATCTGAATAATAAAGAAATAGTAAGTGTAGCATTAGTAGAAAATTGAAGCTTAAAATAGAGAATAATAACCATAACTTAATCTCTTGCAGGGCTGATGATGTAACCAGTAATGATACTGACCTACCTGCATTCAGTTTACCTGTTGCTGTTGTTAGAAGGTATGTGTCGGTGGTTTTTGGTGGGGGTTGTTTGGGTTTGTTTTGGTTTTTTACAGTTAGCTTTGCTGCTTTCCATTTATTTACTGCCCTTCCTGAAGTATGGAGGTGGGAGAATGAAGGGAAACCTTTGATGTTAAATGCAAAGTTGTCTGCGTTTTTAAACATGGAGATTTTTTCTCCAAATCTTTGTTCTCTGTAGAAGACTTTCAGAAACTTTATTTGCAAATTTAAAAGCTTGCTCTAGTAGAGCATCTAATTAAAAAAAAAAAAAGAAAAAAGAAAAAAACAAACCAAAAAAACCAAAACAAAAACCTACAAAATACTTTTTAATTTTTTTTTTTTTTTTTTTTAAGGTATCATCTCCCAATCAGGATCACTGCTCATCACGTAGTTAGTCCTAATACTGTTGTGGTGCCATTGTCTTCGGAGTGCTTGGCTATGAAACCTGTGTCAGATATGCTTAAGATGGCTTGGAATCTGTCATGGTACCATGGAATTGAGAACCTGTTGCAACTGATAAACTATGAGAAGGAAGCAGAAATGTGAGCCACTTCATCTCGATTTTAAATCCCAGTATATTTCAATTAAATTAATGTTCCATCAAGTTTAAATAGGTTTTCAGCTTCAAACAGCAGTTCAAGTTGTTACTGGTTTAAGAATGCTGTACTTTTAAACATAAAGGATCACAGCCCAAGTGGCTGTAGATGTGTTGTCACAGTTAATGTTTTACCTAAATTGCATTGATACGTGAAGTCTAGAGCTTCATCCAGCTTTTATGAGGGTCAGATTCATTTTAAATGGACTCTGTGGCTCTTTTTCTTTGTAGTCATTATGGTTTTTTAAGGAGCTGCCTTTTTTCCCCTTTATAGTTGCATGACTGACTTTTTCTCTTTCTTTCCGTGGGTATTTAAATTTCAAATAATTATTCTTTTTAATGGTAATACTAAGAATTATGGTAGATAATGAAGCAATTCCCTTCACATCCTTTGGTTGGCTCTTGGTTAAGCATCATTTCTCTCTTTGAGACTATTTGGTGTACAGAACTCAACGTCTTAGAAGATTCTTGATTTAATAGGACTGAAATGCTTGTATCTAAATCTTTGTCCATCTTGACAATTTTTTAGTTTTTGCTTATGTACTTTAAGGAGTCCTACAAGTTTTATTAGTAAATAATGTGATTCAGAGCCATTGGAAACTGCAGTTATTGATTTGATAAATCATTTTCATTTTAAGTTCCCTCGGGCAAAACTAAAACAGTCTCTTAAAAAGAAAATAGGAAAATAGTATAGTTCAAATGACCAACATTTACAATAGCGTGGAGGAAGCAGTTCATTACAAACAATGTGAATAGCACCTTTCAAGTAACTTACTGAGAGGTGCCATTTTTCCGAAGAACCCAAACTGCTGAGGATTTAAATGTGGTGGTGGTGTTTATTGTTGTTGGGTTTGGATTTTTTTTTGGGGGGTGGGGAGGGAGGGTGAGAAAGGATTGGTTAACAAAAAAATGTTAAGGCAATTTATGTTTTGTCTTATTTGAACTGGGAAGCGAAGGAGTCAACGCTCACTGAAATAGTGTGTAAAGGTACTGGCTCTTAATCATTTTTCTTTTATGCCTTTTCAGATTCTTAAACTCACTAAAACTATCCTCAGAAGACACTCTTATACTGAAAATAACTCGCACAAACTATGGACTGCAGGATTGTCTCAATTCAATCATTCAGGCAGTATCCCACAGGGATGTTAGGGCTGCTCTCACTAGGCTTAGTTTTTACGTTCTGAATGACAAACTTGCGTTAAAATGCAGTTCTGGGTCTTGTGGAACCACCTTGAAGAGCTTTGTTTGGCAAAAAGCAATAAACAGGTAAGTTTATTGACTGCAGAAATCTATTAAAGATTATGATACTTAAATTGTAAATTTCCTGGTTTTCATATTTTAAATTTATGGAATTGATTGTCCATGGATGTGAAGGTCTAAAGCAGCTTTGGCTGTAGTGATGATGGAGTGGTAGAGTTCAGGATCCTGAGAGGAGGGAAGAGGACAAAAATTAATATCACAATGCTGGATTTCAGGAGAGCAGACTTTGGCCTCTTTAAAGACCTACTTGGCAGAGTTTGACAGGATCAGGCCTTGGAGGGAAGAGAAGCTCAAGAAAGCTGAATAATATTCCGTGGTCACTGCCTCCAAGCTCAAGTGGTCCATGCTGTTGAGCAGGAAGTTAGGCAGAAATGCCAGGAGGCCTGCATGGATGAACAAAGAGCTCCTGGCAAAACTCAAACACGAAAAGGAAGCCTACGGAGAGTGGATGGAGGGACAGGTAACTTGGTGCTCAGAGGAGTGGCTGATATACCAGGGTTGTGCTGCCATCCAGAGGGACCTCAACAGGCTGGAGAAATGAGCTGACAGGAACCTCATGCAGTTCAACGAGAGAAGTGCAAAGTCCTGTACCTGCGGAGGAACAGCCCCAGGCAGGAGGATATGCTGAGCATCACTCAGCTGGAAAGTAGCTTTGCAGAAAAGGGCCTGGGGATCCTGGTAGACACCAAGTTGGAACATGAGCCGTCAATGTGCCTTTGCAGCAAAGAATTGTAGTGGTATCCTGGGCTGCATTAGGAGAGCTGTTGCCAGCAGGTTGAGGGAGGTGATCCTTCCCCTCCACTCTGTACTGGTGAGACCACACCTGGAGTGCTGGGTCCAGTTCTGGGCTCCCCAGTACAAGAGAGACATGGACAGAGTGGAGAGAGTCCAACAAAGCACCACAAAGATGATGAAAGACTGGAGCATCTTTTGTACGGGGACAGGCTGAGAGAGCTGAGACTGGTTAGTCTGGAGAAGAGGAGGCTCAGAGTGAGGATCTTACCAATGCATACAGGTACCTGAGAGGAGAATGAAAAGAGAACACAGTCAGGCTCTTTGCAGTGGTGCACTGTGACAGGACCAGAGGCTATGGGCACACACAGGAGGTTCCCTCTGAATATCAGCAAACACTTTGTCACTGTGAGGGTGAGCCAGCACTGGCACAGGCTGCCCAGAGAGGTTGTAGAGTCTCCATCCTTGGAGATACTCAAAACCTGCCTGGATATAGTCCTGGGCATCTGGCTCCAGGTGTCCCTGCATGAGCAGGGAGGTTGGACCAGGTAACCTCCAGTGATGTTTTGTAGTTTATGTACACAAAACAAGCAAAAAATAAGAATGCTGTATTTAAAATAAGGATTATTTAAAATGCATAGATAGTCTTTGCTCTTATTATTAATTGCTAGTATTTAATAGCTAATTACTTTTTTCTTTGCTCTCTGTGACCCTGTTCAGATTTTTCTACCTTTTGCTATGTGCAATTCCATGTTGACTATATGTAAATACACCTATTGTACTTAACAATTTTGTATTGTATTAATACACAATAAATGTATAATAGTATATAGGTATAATAATTTAATGTAGCCAATATTTTATGTAAAAGTATTTAAATATATTTAATGTAATACATATAATCAATATACAATAATTAATATAATAAATTTATAGATCATATATTAAAATATAATTATACGTATAATTATATTAATATAATATAATTTATACAATAATGAATATAATTCCATATTTGCTATATGTAAATATATGTAATATACAGATTTACTCTTTATAATTCCACATTTGCAGGAGACTTCAGTCCTATTAGGCTGCGATTTTAAACTCTTTGAATGTGCTACAAGTATGAAAGTAAATATTTTTGTTTGCATTGCAGGTTTCTGCAAGTGCTTCCAGCTTCTGTGGAGGATGAGAAGCTTTTAGTAGACGTCTTAAGATTTTTAAACAAATTGCTTAGAGAGCAGAGACCAAGTTTGGAGTCAGACATTCTAAAGTGGATCTTGAAATCATTGCTTAAAAATGTAAGAATATACCTAAGTAGACTGTAAGAAATGATATAACTGTGAACTAGTTGCTGGTTTGTTTCTGGTGTGTTCCTCAAGGAAAATGACTTCGGTTAACAAAAGCAAGAAATAGCAGATTTTGTGGTATTAATGTCGGATACTTTGTGGTCAGTGCTGCTACGGTTCTAATGAGGTTGAACAAGGCCAAGTGCAAGATCCTGCACCT